TGGTTCTCGATTTGGACAAACAAGAAGTTCTGTTGGTTAACTATATATCTACACACACAAAAGAAGAACCATATATATGATGCTAATTCCTAATTGAAGGAAAATACATGATGCTAATTCCTATTTGAATCATGACCTTGTAGCAACTAAGTATTTAAGGCTTGTTCCTATTTGTAACAATGTACTACTTATGTGAATGACAATTTTTGTTGATAGTTTCAGAGTTTTCTTTCTATTAGGACCTTTAGCCCAATATTTGCATCTTAAAGTAGACAAGCTAAACCATTGTTTGGTAGCACTAAGACAAAAATCATAGTGTATAAAACAAAGTGGCTGGGATTATAGACCAGGTTAAGCCAAAGGGAACAACCTGCTTCTTGTTTAATCAAACCTCTGAACTGAGAAAAGCCATGATCAGACTTTTTATAGATTTTAATTTGTTTCTTATAGCCACATTACAGGAAGAAGTTTTACACCTTGAGCTCCTCTTTCCTCTCTATCTATTTTTTCCCCTTTATCTCCTCCCCCTCCCCCCCCAGCTATTTGGATAATGGAAATGTCAAATGCAGCTTTAGAGCCCAGTTGGTCTAAAGCAGGAAAATAACATTTTAAAACATGAAGAAAAATCTTCACTCCAACAATCCCAGTAAGCAGAGACAATACTCAGAAGTGTTGGAAGTTGTAATCTAACATCTGGCAGGTCACAGTGGCCTTTTCTGTGCTTAAAAAAAAATGCAAGATTCAATTTGCTCCTCTCATTTATAAAAAGCAACAGGAAACTAGTTTGACCTGCTGCATCCATAATATACATATAAAGTCTTTTTAGTGCCAAATAATGCACTTAGTATTAGTTTCCAAGCAAAGTAGCTTCCGTGACACAAATTAACGTTTTTCTCCCTGAATGTAATTTTTCTGAATACATTTCATAGAAGTAAAAAGAAACTCTACAGAAAATTGTGAATCAAAATTAATAACAAAGAACAAAATAAATGTAAACTCACTTGCATTTTTCAATGAACAATTTCCCTTTTATTCTTCTGTATAAAACTGTTGATAAATTGGGCCAGCAGACAGCATATGTGAAAGAGCAGGCATCTCACTGGAAGAGTACCTGTCTGTGTCCATAAATTCTCAAGTTCTGAAACTGTGAAGAAAAGTTGCTTTCAATCAAATCTGAAGTTCTGATATTTTTTAAAGAAATACTTTTAAAGTATTCTACCCAAATAGAACTTCAGGTATATCTAAAAGGCAACCAGCAATTTGCCACTGGTTTCCCCAAAACTTAACCAGCCTTGATCTTCCTGCCATACTCTCTAATCTTCCCTATAGCTAGACCTTCATTTGGAAATTAATATAGTCTTTGCACTATTTTTTCTTAAAAAAATACTTCATCCTCATACCTCTCCCTTCTCCTCAAAAGACGTTTCCCACTCCAGTTTTGGAACTCCTGTTTTAGACAAATAATGCCTACTAAATTAACTGGTTTCATATGACTATATCGACCATGGTATCTTACTGCACCGGCTGGAGGTGTTAGGAATAGGGGGCATTGTGCTTCGGTGGTTCTCCTCCTTCTTCTCTGACCGTTCGCAGTTTGTGTTGGCAGGGGGGCAGAGGTCGACCTCAAGGCTCCTTATTTGTGGGGTGCCACAAGGGTCAGTCCTCTCACCCCTTCTGTTCAACATTTATGTAAAACCGCTAGGCGAGTTCATCCGTGGTTTCGGGGTGAGTGTTCATCAATATGTGATGACACACAGTCTTACATGTCCACCCCGGACCACCCCAATGATGCCCTTACTGTGATGTCCCGTTGCCTGGAGGCCGTGCGGATCTGGATGGGGAGAAACAAGCTCAGACTCAACCCCTCCAAGACCGAGTGGCTGTGGCTTCCGGTGTCCCGGTATAGTCAGCTGGTACCATCACTGACAATTGGGGATGAGACCTTACTCCCCACAGAGAGGGCTCACAACTTGTGTGTCCTCCTAGATTCACGGCTATCTTTAGAAGAGCACATGATGGCCGTGGCCCGGGGGGCCTTTTATCAGGTTCGCCTGATCCGCCAGTTGTGTCTCTTTCTGGATCGGTATGCCTTGTGCACAGTCACTCATGCCCTAGTCACCTCCTGTATGGACTACTGTAATGCTCTCTACATGGGGCTCCCCTTGAAGAGCACCCGGAGGCTCCAGCTAGTCCAGAATGTAGCCGCGCGGGTGATTATGGGCACAGCTCGTTGTGCCCATGTAATACCTCTCCTACGCGAGCTGCACTGGCTCCCAGTAGTCTTCCGGGTGCGATTCAAGGCGTTAGTCATCACCTTTAAAGCGCTCCATGGCTTAGGACCTGGGTACCTATGAGACCGTCTTTTGCCACCAATAGCCTCCCACCGACCAGTTCGTTCTCACAGGGAGGGACTGCTCAGGGTACCATCAGTCAAATTATGCCGACTGGCGACTCCCAGGGGGAGGGCCTTCTCTGTGAGGGCTCCAGCCTTTTGGAATGAACTGCCCCCGGAGATACGGAATATCCCTGATCTCCGTGCTTTCCACCGTGCCCTCAAGACCCTGATGTTCCAACAGGCGGGCTAAACATATGAACATGTGAATGATTTTTTAAAATGTTATCTAATTCTGGGTTTTATTTAATTGGCCAAACTAAGTAATAATTTTAATTAGCAATTTTATGATGTTTGTGTGTCTATATTTTTCTTGGCTGTACACCACCTTGAGTCCTATGGGAGAAAGGCGGTATAGAAATATAATTAATAAATAATAAATAATAAATATGAGAAAGCTTACTATCCTGGAAGATAACTATTTTTATTGTTTGATTGCTGATTGACCTTTGTTATGATAGTAAAGCAAACATGGAATTAGCTAAAACAGGATGTACTGTACAAATAGCAAGTAAGAACATTTACAAAAGTCAGAAGGCAGACATATAATTATAATTTTATGAAAATAATTGTACAATCATATTCACTTTTCACCCCAACTGAAGACTTCAAAATAAGAGTAAACATACATGGAAAACTGCTGTAAAGCTTTGTAATCCTAGACAGACTTGCCATAAAAAAGTCACACTTGCAATAGGAAACTGGGCAGAAACTGCAGTATCAGTCACTTACATGTCCTTCTAGGTAACTGATACAGAAACAAGATCCCTCTGAAAAATAGCAATATAAAGTTTGAGGCGACGATATAAAATACTTTAGCACCATTTAATGTTACTGTGGATGTGCATTTCTTTTTTCTTTTTTAAGAATTACCCTATCTTAAAATTAAAAAAAATAGTCAAACTTAAAATTTGTATCTTTGACTTTATGCAAAGAAAGAATCATCAAGTTTTACTGAAAGATGACTAATTCCAAAACAAAAAAATCCAATCTCTTTATTATAATTAATTAAAATTCAGCAAATTATGAACAAGGTTTTTGCCTCAAGCCTTCATCAGACTGGATGTTAAGCAAGGTAGAGAGGGAGAAAGCTGGTCTGATGTTGACAGTTAATTTGTTTGTTCTCATTTTGTACTATGCCATCATTGGCTTGAATTGAACTGAATTGAATCTACTGAATAAACCACAACTCAGTATTGTATATATGGGTCCATAGTAGGTCTACTATAAATAGCAATAGCACGTAGACTTATATACCGCTTCACAGTGCTTTGCAGCCCTCTCTAAGCGGTTTACAGAGTCAGAATATTGCCACCAACAACCTGGGTCCTCATTATACTGACTTCAGGATGAAGAAAGGTTAAGTTAACCTTGATTGTTCGTGAAAAATCAAACTACCAAACTGCTGGCAGCCAGCAGTCAGCAGAAGTAGCTTGCAGTACTGCATTCTAACCACTGCCTCACCACAGCTCATAAATCAAACATATTAGCTGATGGTTTTGTTCTGTGTTCCACTCTAGCCACTCTGATTATGCAAAAGAGTTTGAAAACCTAACTGTAATCATTATGCACTAATTGGCATATTTCTAACTGGCAGATTTCTAACTACATCAACAATAAAGACAAAAAAGCCATCCTTAACTCTCCTGCTTTCCATGTTCTCACTTCTTCTGCAATCAGACTGGTATTGCATACACCAAAGGATAGCTATCAGCAGATGATACCATTCTACTTTGAAGTCTGAGATTCACAACCTGTCTCCAGATTCTTGCTTCTCATGGCTATTAGAGGTCTATCTTATATGTCTAGCACCATATCTGGATACAGCTGTGACCACTGGTGAGGGCCAGTGGTCACAGCTCCTGCAGCTGCACTGGGCCAGGGCAAACAAGCAGTGGAGGAGCCCAGGCACAAAAGTTACCTGCCTCTACATCTTATAAGTGTTTCAGTGTGACATGGCTTTCAGGCTACAGGTCCACCCACAGGTTAATCCAGTTCCATGGGCAGAGCAGGCAAAGGGATTTTTGGAGGGGAAGGGACAGAAGGTCTACTACTCAATGGCTAAAATAGGTGGGGATTAGCAGACAGGAACAGAAGGGTTTGATTTTACTGCCCTATTCCTCCATATTTTGTCAATGCAAAGAACTACAGTATTTCCAAAAGTATTTCCTCCAGCTCATTCAACAGGAATCCACTTGCAATGATAATCTAAGGTCTGAATGTGGAGGCACCCGAAGTTGATCTTATAATTAGCTGGTAGCTCCTTTCAACTGATCGGGCAGGGAAGGCAATTGTGCACTGCGCAACTTTCTTTTCTGCAGGTTGCCAACTTAGAAACCCTACCTACGTAGGCTTTCCGCCAGCCTTAAAAAAAGGGGGGGGGAGGGAGAGGATCAGGCCCGGGAAGAAGACAAGGTGCGATGCAGAGAACTTTCTTGGGCGGAGAACTCAGCGCTCCTCGCGAACCGGCCGGAGACTCCTGAAAGGGAGCCGCTTGCAGAGCGGGCGGGGCAACCCATCAGCACTCCGGGGAAGGAAAGGGCCGGGGCTGCCTGGCTCGCGGGTAGGTCGAGAAGTTCGCGAGGCGGGGCTCCGGCAGCCGCGCACCGAAGCAGGCAGGCTGGGGAAGTTGCACCTCGTCGCGGGAGGCGAGCGCTCCGCCACAGAAGCCTCTTTCCTGATCGGGAGTTGGGAACCTCCGCCGCGCTCCCCCTGCGAAGGAACCGCGGGGCGCCTACCGGAGCGGGCGTGTGAGACCTGGCCTTTGGTCGCCGGTCCAAGTCCCTGCTGAAGTGCTCTTAGGATGAGGTAAAGCTGGTGGCTGCTTGGCCAACATCGCTTGCCAACAACCCATCGATTTGGGGAAACGGGGGTTCTTGGAAGACTTGGGGCGTTCGCCGGGACAGCGGCTGCTCAAAGATAGGCGGTGGGCATTTTCGGCACGGTTGGCAATGCGGGACGCCTTTCCGACGGACTCTTTCGCTTCGCTCTGCTCTTGGCATGGCAATGCCCCTTCCTCTTCTACACTTACCTAGAGTTTTGTTTGCTTTGGTTTGTACTTTACAGTCAGCTTTTGGGTTCCGGGAGGCTGCCAAGACAAGTCCTTGGAGTTTTCTTGGCAAGATTCCAGAAGTCGTTTGCCATTGCCAGCTTCCTAGAGCTGAGAGAGAGTGTCTGGCCCAAGCTGGCTGCGTGCCTAAGGCAACCCTAGAACTCATGGTTTTCTGGGGTCTTAAGCACTACACCAAACCGGCTCTCACTCTGTCTCGCGTTAATTCTTTTATTTATATTATTCTATCTTTTTGAATGTTAGGTTGCTACCTTCCCTCCCTCGATTTTGCACCTCAAGTGTTGGACCCTCAACTCGACCAGCTTCCTTTGAGAAGGAACCAGGAACTATAATTCGAGATTGCACCTCTGAGCACCCCCCCCGTCCCCACCCCCGTCTGTCATTGGAGAGTATTATAATAACTTTGAACGACTTTATAGGATTACCCGACTTGCTCGAGGCTACCTCAGCAAAGCGTTTTAAATGTTGGTAACCCGCTAAATAAATTCTCTTTTTCGCTGTGAAAGTTTGAATATTAAGAAATGCTGGGTTCGTTGTTATTGACCAAGCTTTCCCCTAAATTGCCTTGACACTCTATTGCTGTTTCCCTACCCTGCAACTGCAAAAGCTTCCCAAAAGCACTATTCTTTATCATTTTCCTTTCATAGCATTATCTTTTCCAAGACACTTCCCCACCCCAAGAGCAGAATCCTTTAAGAAGTTGTAAAGTTTTTTCATAATTGTAACAAAGCTTTTGTAGCCAAGTAAGTCACTTTTGTACTGCTTTAAAGCAAAAGATCCTGAAATTGGTGGTTTTCACACACACACACACACACATATATATTTGGAGACTACCCATCTCACTCATAATGACTTTTGGTGACTTAATGGCTTTTAATGCATTTATAGTGGGTGCTTTCTAACATAGTTTGTTTTTCTATTATAAGTATGTGTGTAGCACTCATTTTATTCCAAGAGAATGCAATGATTGTGCTGTTGCCAGAAATCCATAAATTGAAGTTTTCTTTAAATGTAATAATTTTAGTCAGGAATATAAAAATTGGGAGGAAATGAAACAAAGTTTAGAATTGTTGTTAGTTGCGAAGTTGTGTCCAACCCATCATGACCCCATGGACAACGTTCCTCCAGGCCTTCCTATCCTCTATCATCCTCTGGAGTCCATTTAAGCTCACGCCTATTGCTTCAGTGACTCCATCCAGCCACCTCATGCTCTGTCGTCCCGTTCTTCTTTTGTCCTCAATCTTTCCCAGCATTAGGCTCTTCTCCAGTGAGTCCTTCCTTCTCATTAAGCGGTCAAAGAATTTCAATTTCATCTTCAGGATCTGGCCTTCTAAAGAGCAGTCAGGGTTGATCTCCTCTAAGACTGACTGGTTTGATCGCCTTGCAGTCCAAGGGACTCGCAGCAGTCTTCTCCAGCACCATAGTTCAAAGGCCTCAATTCTTTGATGCTCAGCCTTCCTTATGGTCCAACTTTTACAACCATACATTGCAACTGGGAAAACCATAGCCTTGACTATATGCACTTTTGTTGGCAGAGTGATGTCTCTGCTTTTTAGTATGCTGTCTAACTTTGCCATAGCTTTCCTCCCCAGGAGCATCTTTTAATTTCTTGGCTGTAGTCCCCATGTGCGCTGATCTTGGTGCCCAGGAAAATAAAATATGTCACTACCTCCATTTCTTCCCCATATATTTGCCAGGAATTGAGAGGGCCGGGGAGCCATGATCTTAGTTTTCTTAATGTTGAGTTTCAAGTCAACTTTTGCACTCTCGTTCTTCACCGGCATTAAGAGTTCCTCTGCGCTTTTTGCCATTAGAGTGGTATCATCTGCATATCTGAGATTGTTGATATTTTTCCTGGTAATCTTAATTCCAGTTTGTGATTCATCTAGCCCTGCTTTTCTCATGATGTGCTCTGCATATAAGCTAAACAGGCAGGGTGACAGTATACAGCCTTGCTGAACAGGATAAAAACTAGATAGTCATAAAAGTAATCCCTTTGGTTCATTGTAACGGTTGCTCACTATGCAAAGATAGAAATGTAAAAAACCTTTCTTAAGGAATTGAAATATTTACATTCTATGTAAAAGTAAATTATTTTAAATACCTTATAATCCAGTTCCTTAACACTGGCTTTAATTTTTGTTTCTTTTATACTCACCTGTGCAGATAACCTGGTTGATCTCAGTGAAGCTCATTTATAAATTGTCTGTGGCACTTCAGAGTTGCCTGAAAATTACTTTCAGAAACACTTTATTAGTCTAATGCAGCAGAAATGTGACTCTCACAAAACTTTGAAGTCTTGAAAAATTTGTTATTGTATATCCCAAAGGTGCTTTTTTCCTTCCAAATGGCAACTACACTTTTTTTTACTTTTCTTGAAGACATTTCACTTCACCTCTGAAGAGCTTCTTCATTTCTAACTAACTGATAGGGAAGGAAGGATTTATACTTCTTAAAAGAATTTCCAGGTCCCTTTTCCAGGATGTTGCAAGCAAATAAAACTCAAGGCATAATGCTGGTAGAAAGGAGAAGATTCATTTGTTCCCAAAAGCTAAGAGGTTTGAGGGTAACTACAGAGAAAATGAGGTACAGCGAGTTTGTTCTATAGGAGGACTGGTCCTTAGTGTGAGCCTGGGGGGAGAGGGTAAGTGGTTTGTATGTGCTGGTTGTCGTGTGAAACTCTTAAAAGGTCAATCTTAATTTCCGTCCTGATACCAATTGGCTTGCCTTTTTTTGTGTAGATGGTGCTTTGGGCAATCTATTTGTGGGTGTGGGGAAGTGTGACTGAACAGGTTCTTTGTCTGGTTAACTACTCTTGCTCAGGTACTTGGATTTCGTACTTGGTTTTGACTTGTTAATTGATAGCTTAGCAGAAGTGCAATTCAACAATCTATTGTTACAAGGTATTTTCCATAATTTCAATGGATCATAGATTTGTGTTAAAGGTTAACTGACAGCTGAGACACTGAAATAAATAAAGTTAATTTTGAATAAACAATCTCCTATAGTTATTATTGATTATTAAAATAACATTCTTCCCCCAACTCTTTTCAGTCATCCAGTCATTAACACTAAGATTTGTTGACAACACCTGGGGGTTAATCTGTGTCCTCAGAGTACCTGAGTCAAGACTGCAAACCAGTGTGGAACTGTCTTGAAAGGACTGCATTGTTGACAGGAGATAAGTGGTGTGTGGTATCTCCCTGCCACCCATCCACTTATCTCCTGTTTACAATGCAATCCTTGAAACTGCTTATCTTTTAGAATAGAATAGAATAGAAAATAGAATAGAATAGAATAGAATAGAATAGAATTTTTTATTGGCCAAGTGTGATTGGACACACAAGGAATTTGTCTTGGTGCATATGCTCTCAGTGTACATAAAAAAAAGATAGGTTCATCAAGAATCATAAGGTACATCACTTAATGATAGTCATAGGGTACAAATAAGCAATCAGGAAACAATATCAATATACAGTAAATCGTAAGGATACAAGCAACAATGAAGTCCTTTTAGAAGTCTCAAAACAGTTCACACTCATCTGCACTCTGATTCAGGTGCTCTGAGGACACAGATTAACCCCCAGGTGGTTTCAATGACTCTCAAAGTGTTAATGACTGGCTGATTGAAAAGAGTATAAAACCTGCCTTTCCTATCAGTCAATTAGAGATGATGAAGCTTCTTGGAGGAAAAGTTAAATGTCTTCAATTTTTTAAAAAATGAAAGTCCAGTTGCTGTTTGGGGCGAAAAAAGCACCTTTGGAACAACCATAACTGAGAATCCCCATGGGCATTTATTATTGTATGTATTCAGGGGTGGGTTCTACTTACCTTTACTACTGGTTCGCAATGGGATCACATGCACAGATCGCTTCTCATGACGTTAGGGTCAGTGGGCAGAGCTCCTGCCGGTTTTACTACTGGTTCTATAGAACCAGTCCGAACTGGGGGAAACCCACCACTGTATGTATTTTAATAAATATGACAAAATGGCCTTTCTCTCTCAGTAATGTCTCTTCTGTTTCTTGTAATTTCCTTTCTCTGCCATCCAGTGTTGATTGCAATAAAGAGACATGTATTACAGAGATTTGGACCTATTTCTTGCGTAGGGATTTTGAAAGTATCCTAAGGGCTGTGTGGTAGTCTAGGACCACACACTCAACAGTTTACAAATGTCTGCATATTGCCCCTGACAATCAGGGCCCTCATTTTACTGACCTTGGAAAGATGGAAGGATCAAACTCCTGGCTGTGAGCAGAGTTAGCCTGCAATATGGCATGCTATCAACTTCGCTACCACAGCTCCTTCCTAATAGAAAGTCTAGCAGAGTCTCTTTCAGACACTATCCAGGTGAATTATAGTATTATCCAGCCATTATTGTGCTGATTTAAAGCCTGTCTTAATTCATCACAGGATTCTAAATTAATAATGTGAAATGTTTCTTTTTCTGTCATTCAAGGTCAGTGCTTTGATCCCTACTTGCACTACTCCTGAGTTTTAAGAACAGAAACCCATTTTTTATGAGTTCAACTGGATATATGAAGACTCTCTTTAAGGGAGATGTGCAAAGAGTAGAGAAGGACATTGGATATAAAACTAGAAAGTGAACAAGTTCCACTTCCTGTCATGTTTTGGTTGAACATGCCATAAGAAACCTTTTGCTAAAGATTTTATATACCAAGAGTATAAATTAGACTAAAGCTTTCTTCTATAGCTTAAATCCAATACATTCATATAA